CATTATTGTGCTATACGTGCATAGTGGTGAGCAATCATTTTCATCTTGTGTTCATCCCCACCTGCTCTTCACGGATGCAGGTTAAGCAGGTGCCGGGTGACGAGGAAAGACGAGTGGGACGACCTATTGATTATGCTTATTTATTTCTCTTCCGTTAAAAATAAATGAGATCTTGTTGAACCTTTATTGTTGAGGCTTGTGAAAACCTTTTTCAAAACTTAAGATTTGTTTTGATGTTGGGAATACTTGATGAACCCTTATTGTTGAATTTATGATGCTTCGTTTATATTGAGGTTTGAATATTCATGTTGAGTATTTTGTCATGTGATATGATTTAGGTTAATGAAAACCTTGTGAAAATCGGGTAATGAATCCCCGTGGGCCCAGATAAGACTTGGGTTATGAAAAATATTGTTTAACACCCATTGGATTTCAAAAATGGTCTCGAAAAATTATTACCTGATTTTTGGAAAGCCCGGAATTTCTTTAAAATCAAAGTGGGGTGTTACATTCTTAGATCATTATTAGTTACAAAGACATGATTACGCATAGAGATGGTAATCATGGAACATGTCTTTAAAGTTGTGATCTTAAATAAAGTTCCAAGTCGTTGAGTATTTCGAGATAGGATATCAAATAACCTGGTAAGAGTTGCACATATGATGTATACTTATTGGATAAGAATGTTGCATTCCATCAACATTAGCGTGGGACGCAAATACATATATGTGGGTGCTTGTTAGGGAACAAGTTTACTGAACATGACCATATGAAAATTCTTAACTGGAAGTTTTAACTGTCGAATAAGAATTTTCATGTTGCAATAATACATGATTGATCCTTTGACTTGAGGAACGATGTAATCTTGTGCATGTTGTACTTTACTTTGGTTTATCCTTTGATTGTTGGACAATCACAAAAGGGATATTTTGGGTATTGTATTAATATGTATGGAGGTTTATCTGTGGCCAACAAAGAATTCGACACTTATATGGATAAGTGAATTTCTTATGTTTTTCGTAGTTTGTGATTCAAAGACCTTGGCCAAGGCAGGATGAATGAAGATTCATAAATGAATCTCTAAACTTGAAATGGAATCATAGTTATTAAATCAATTGGGTTTCGACTAAAATCCATACCCATGATTTAACCGGGAAATTAGATGTCGAAAGGATTTTACATGTATGCAATTGTAATCGAAAAAGTTTACTCGCTATTTCACTTAATACTAGGTGATCATGCTACTTGCTAGGTGTTCCCATGATTTGTGGGTTCTTGAAATTAAGGAGTTAATTTCAAAAATATAAATTAATAAGATTAATTTAAATTACAAGTAAGTTGTAAACTCACTAGTAGTATTAATTCATTAATTGTAAACCTAAAAGGTCACACCAATTTTTGAATGAAGAAAAATTTTAAAAATTGATATTTGTAAAGATTTATAACTGATTGACAGAGATTGATTAAATAATTTGATTATTTAATTAAATCTAATTTTAAAGATGTCGATTAAAGAAATATTATAAATTAATCAATTGGATTGATTAATTGAATTTTGCATATTAATTAAGTAATTATTGAAATTACTAAATTAATAGTTTGATTTTTAAAATTGGATTTTAAAATTCAAATCGAAATATTAATATGATTATAAAAAAGAATATTTTATTTAATTGGGAGATAAAAGATTTTTATCAAATAATCTTGAAAATGGTTTTCAAGACTTATTACTTTATTAGTAATCTTTAATATGATTAAAGATTAAATAATAATAAAAATAATTATGGTAGATGGTGGTTATGAACCACTCTACATAATTAATGTAAAATCAAAGTTCGGTGAGATTATTTTAATAAAAAAATTGATTTTTGAATGGAAATGATTACCCAACATTGATTATTTTATACATAAAATTTTAGTGTAAATATGTACGTAAATGATGTACAAAATGTAGAGTTAAAATTTGAAGAAAGATTTCTTAAAATTTTAAGAGAGATTTTTAAGAAAGAGTTCTTGAAAATAAGAGTTAAAAATTTTAAGAAACAGTTCATGAAATTATAAGTGAAGAAAAGTTCTTACACTTAGACAAAAATTATTCTCCCAATAAAAATAAATAAAATTCTCCTCTTTAATAATATTCCTATATCAATTGATAAACCGAGACGTTTCTACTAGCGACGAAATTGGATCTTGGTGTTGGATTTCAAAAGGTGGACTCGATACATTTGGATTCCTTAAAGCGAGAAGAGTTCATACCGGAAATTGATTTCCACAACAGCATCGAGGAGGAGATAAAGAGGTAATTTTCAAATTATCTTACAAATCAAAATTAGTATTTGTTACTAGATTTTAAACGATGCTTATCCTTTGTTTCGTTATATTTATGTACGGTTTAAGTATTTATATGATAAATACTTATAAATTTTAAAATTTCCGCTGCTATTTTTAATTCGTACAGTATAACGAACCCAACAGGTTGATGTCTGGCCGTGTGTGACTGCGTCCTCATGGGGGGAATGTATTCGTCCTGGGAGAAAACTTGACTGGATGGCCCCCCATGTGGAACACCCTGGCCCCCAACAGTCAGAGAAGAGAAGGCATAGTTGTACGACTGTTGGAAGCCGGTCTGCGCTTCTGGAGGGATTTGAGGCACATATGGTTGCATATCAGATAATCCACCATAAATCTCGTATAGTGGAGAAGTCTGTAAATAAAATTCATAATAATTAGTATGAAACACAAAATAATAATAATAATAATAATAATAATAATAATAATAATAATAATAATAATAATAATAATAATAATAATAATAATAATAAACACAAATAACGAACACTTACCTGACAGCCTAACCGCTCGGCAAGTGGTTGATACCCGTCTGCCTGTTGGTACGCCGGGTAATTGGCAGGGTTATTGATTAACTTCCGAGTCCTGCTGTGAAACCATTCGAGGTAACCCTGCTCCGGCTACAAATAGTCGTACACAGGGGCAACTGGGAAGAGACGGTGGTCTCTTTCTTCGGTCCACGAGCTTAGAAACGGTACATGGAACATGGCCCAATCATAAAATGCCCTCCTAGTCATCTCCTGCCCTTTGTGGTATGTGTCTCACTCTCGCTCATCCCGAATGATCGGATCTTGGGGGATGGATTGGCGACACCCAAATTGCCGGAGGATCCTATCAGGCAGGTGTACCTCCCGGGTGTTCCAACTGAATATCCACCCCTGGTACGTCCAAAATTATCGATCGTCTGTGCACGCATCCAGAAGAGAATCATCGTCCAGGACGTCTTGATAGAGCTGCCAATCGAACTGTAAAAAAAAATAAGAATAATAACAATTGAATTAGTAATTTAGTTATTACAAAATTAGAAACAAAAAAAAAAGATAAATCAAGCAATGGGAATTAAGAACATTACATCATCCTCTCTCAGCCCTGTCAACTGGTCCCGGTAGGCCCAATGTACTTGCCATGTTTAACTTAGATTTCGGTCCCATCCACCTAAAAAATCACAGGAAAAAAAAAGTTTGTAATCACAAAATTTGATAATGAAAATAAGGTACGAATTAAATAAAAATAAAAGTGATTACCTCACTCCCAATGGACAATCAGGCAGAGTAGAAAACCTACTTTTCTTCACTATTGGGCGAATACGAGTGATATGCTCACATGCACAAACCTACACAAATGACATTAATTTTGTTATTAGGTATTAGTCGAAGTAAGAAAAATAATAAATTAAATTTTCAAATAATAATTAAATAAATTTACCTGGATCAATTGAACTCAGTTCTTGATCCACTTCTTCATGGCCACGTACGAGGTCGACAACGCTCTGTATACTCCAGCCAGGAGCGCTGAACCCCAGCTGTACCCCTTAATACCATCTATGTCCTCTGAGTGTGACTTATTTTATTAGGCCGACATATTCCGTATTTTGGTAAATAATCCCGAGTGCATGATGTGCCATCTAGGACCTACGAACGATAAGATTATTTTGAATACTGACCTAGTACATAATCTAAACTTCGGTAATTGTTGTATTCTCTTAACTCGTAAGAGAATAAACGGGGCATATGTATTCGATACTTGTTTATTTGATTTACCATGAGTTTGACTTATTTTACGAGGCCGACATATTCTGTATTTTGGTAAATAATCCTGAGTGCATAATGTGCCGTTAAGATTGTTTACGGTTACCGTGTCCCGGTCCGTTGGGTTGATGACGTTCACGAAATAAACTCAAGAAGGATTATTATGTCAAGCCAGACCGGCAAAGTAATTTTCGACACAATAGATAATGAATTGAGTGGTACTATTTTCGGATCCAGGAGATAAAAGAAATTGATTAAGTATATTATCAGTATTTAAATTTATCAATGAACGCTATATCTTAAACATGTGGAGGTAAATTGAGCAATTAGTCAATAAACAAATTGAAAGAGCTAAATGGAGAGTTCAATAATATTACTCTAGTGGAATGTTTTATTATTCAAATAAAGAATATGAATTAATTTATCTTCTAGAATTTTCCTAAGTAGATAGCTTTAATGTCTTCTAGAATATTACAAAGTTGGAAGACACTGGGTCTTCTAGAAAGACAATTAAGTTATGACTTCTAGAAGGTTAATTGGAAAGGTATTATGATTTGTAATTCTATTTAAAGAAGGGTATATTATTACTATATTTAAAACATGGTTCCTATTGTAGCCCATATAAATACAATAAAGCCTCCAATGATGATTATTCTACCCGTAAACACACGCCAGATCAGTTTTTCTCACGACAAATTCAGATTTCCTCGTCCAATATTGTGTAAATAGTTTTTTGAGACAAGAGACTTTGGAGATCCAATTAATCGCTGCACAAGATTTATTGGAGATCATGTAAAGGTCATACAGTGGAAGATTCATGGTTATTTTTTTCTCATCTGGCCAATAAATATATGTATCCCGTGTATTATATTCGTTCCTGTAGTGTAAATCGAATTTCCAAACCTAACGAGGATGATCATCAGCGAAAACCGCACGAGGCAGTGTCCACGGCGCACTGGCCGAAGCTCTGGTGACGTCCGGCGAGCTACTGAAAATCCACCCAGCGTGGCCAGGCCCACAGCCGCGCATCCAAACCGCGCCCAGGTCCAGCTGTTGTACAGTGCGCGCCCAGCCCGTGTAGAAGGCCAGCAGCGCGCAGCCCGTCATCGCGTGGCCCAGTTCCTAACGGCCCGCGTCAATTCCATCCATCAAGAGAGAAAGCAGCCCAGCAGTGTGCGTGACCTAATATTGCAAAGCCCAGGGAAAGAAGGAAAAACGCGCGAGCCCCTTCCAGCCCGCGAGGCCCGCTTCCAGACCGCGCAGCCCACATATCTCTCACAGCAACAGCCCGCGTCTCCTCACTGTCATCAGCCCACGTGGCCCGCGCGCCTTCAGCCCGCATGCGGCCCAGTCCATTCAGCACGCCTTTACGGCCCATATGCGCGAGCCTCCGCGGCCCATCAGCTCCACAGAGCAGCCCATCAGCTGCCTAGCGCAGCCCAGTGACGTGGAAAGCACCCCAGCTTGTACCAGCGAAGTCCTCGGTCCAAAACTCGACCAGCGAGCTCCAAACCGGCCCAACTCGGTCCAGCAGCCTCGGTTTGTGCCTAAGGTGGTTCTCGAGCGGTCCGAGAAACCTACCGAAGGTCCAAGACGATCCGACGAGCAACCGAAGACGCATTGACAAGGCCAAGTTTGGTTGCCCATCGAACTCTGCGGTTCAAACGATCTCCATCGAAAATCAAAAACATCTCAAACTCGACAAAAATTTAAACCGTAAGTCTTAATCCTAACTATAAATTCTGTTACATTATTATTTATTTTTAATAGATTTGAATGTGGACATAGTCGTTCCTAATAGAACCAACAACGAGAATATTATGGTTCATTTTGTGAAAATGTGAAATGTTTTGTTCATATATTCGTATCTCATTTATTAAATATTAATTATTAACTAAAAACATAACATTGGATGGGTATTAGTTTGACTAATTTACCAATAAAAATATGTCAAAGTAAGGTAGTTTCATTTTTTTAACAAAATCACCCATCATTAGAGTAGCATATGCAGGTAATTAGTATTTGCAACATCAATCAGAGTTATTTTCTTTCCCTAAGCTCAATATTGGTCATGAACATTCTGCGTTTTGCCCGTCTTTCCACTCCAAAACTTTCATATACAAATAAACTGGTTTAGACAAGGTATGATTCATACGAGTCGTCAAAATGGGTGTGCCTGACCAGTCCTTCTGAAACTCTCTAACTCACTGGACATGCGGCAAAATGGAGGGTTGGGGCCAGAATTGTTTGGTCCATGATAAATTCCCCAAATGCATCCCGAGTTTACACAGCTTCTGATGGTGGAGGCAGAGGCAGATGACTTATCCTATTCAAAACTGTTCATGTGCTTCAGGTTATTCCAATTACGCAAATGTTTCAAAGAACCTATTATAGAAGACGACTTCAAACACAAACCTGAGGCAGTATGACGATCATTATGTTTTTCCAAGCTTACGTCTGCAGTAAACCAGATTTTGAACAATTTCTGGATGCTTTACACCCTGTGTCAACCGTAAAAAACCGCAGATGTTGAAAGAGAAAATAACAGCATGAAATGGAAAAAAAAAAAAAAATCATTCGGCAGAAAGTAATTTAACCTACTTGTTTCAGGGCTTGAAGTAGAAGAGTTTCAGCAGTGTCAAAGTTGCCCATGTCCATGTTGCAAGTAATCAAACCTTGTTGTAACATTCTAGACATTCCATACTTCGCTGATAACAGATTAAATATAGTCAATGCTTTTCCAGTACTTGTACCTCCCTGTCAAAATAGCAATATGACATTAATAAAAATCCATCGTTTAAACCAAACAAAAAATATACGTAGTTTACCACTGCAAGATTCACCCATCCATCAGCAAGTTGAGTAAGGACGTGGTCTCGGTCTATTCTTCTCATAACGACCAATTGATTTGTGGCAGCATTAACTTGGTTCATTTTGAGAAGAATATGAACATTGAAAGCGTAGCTGCAAGAAACATAATATTGCCAAGTTCACAGTAAATGAAATGTATCGATACCTAGGAATTAATTGCATATGGACAGAAACAATGACACAACCACACACCATATACATACACAAATAAAACACATCAGGCAACCTCACACGAATTCCGAAAGGGGCATAATGTTTCATAAAAAAACGTAGCATATGGAATAATTTACAATTCTAAATCATTTTTTATTTTTTCTGGGGCTTCAAAACTATTCAACTCTTCTCCACACTAATTCTGGAGAATGAAGGTGAGTTTGGTTGTGTGCTGAAAAATCCAAAATGATAATATTAAGCAATGACTCACAGTTCCATTGTTCCCCCAACTTCTGTAACCTTCAATGCCTGATTGTAATTCTGCTCATTTAAGAATATTATCCCTGCAATCAAACAGAATGTGGGGCTGTGTCTTTTGAATGGATCTCCTAGCCATTCAAAGGTTTTCGAAATTGCCATTTCCTACATATGTAATTGAGCATAGTTACGATAAGCATATATAGTAAAGCAATTACCAACAATATTACCAACGATGGGAAAATAACTGAACAGTAGTGCACAAGATAGGTGGCACGAAGAAAAGCATAAAGGTTTTCGTGACATACCCAAAGTTTTACATGTAAATTATATAACCTTGTCTCAATATAGTATGTTACCTTCATATTTTCTACACTATGCCGTTATACTACATTAATTTTGAAACATCATTATCAATTATTGTCTATATATAGTTCACATTCTATTACACAACAAACATTTAACAACCAACCACATTAGATTACCTTGGTTTTCGGGCTCCAGAAATACAATGCAAGCAGTTTTACAGCCTGAAGATTTAATGGGGCTGCTGGATCAACCGCGTCAATCACACGCTACATATGAAAAGGAATTAAAATTATCAGCAGACCTCAATTTTAATGCAAGACAAAACAATAGCTGCAACAGATCTTTTGTCCAAAGTATAACCAAATTGTACCTGATAACTTCCAAGACAAATACACGAGCGGTAAATGATGTAGTTCCTGTCAAGAATTTCCTCTGAAGAAAGGTCAGGGATATTGCTGTGGCTGATTGCAGCTTGGTATGCTCCAACGTACATGCTATTCCTTGATGTGGATAACTTATCGGGGCCCTAACAAAATTTTTATGACGTTAAATTCAACAAGTTGTGTTCCTTAATTTAATATTTTGATCATAAGGCCCTACCAAAATTAATATTTAAAAATGTCGTATGAAACTATATATATATATATATATATATATATATATAATGGACATAGTTTTAGGCGGAAAAACATTTTCATTTATATTTAGCATATAGTTACACTTTTAAATTTAAAATAAAACAAAAAAATTTAAATATATAAATAAAGTAGTCTACTTTAAATGAATTTTGTTGCATAAGCGATTAAAGTTGCTACACTTTAAATTTATTATAAAAAGACTAATATTTCATGCATCTAGAATTATAATAAAAAGAAAACAAATTTTTGGGTTAAACGCTAATTAGTTATTGAGCAATATGCAAAATATGAATTGTTTAAAAAAAAAAGTAAAAAAATCAAGATAATTAGTAATTTTATAAGTACATGTAAGTAATTGTATACAAACATCATTTTTAACTCTTATATTTTTATAATATTTTATAAATTCTAACAACAAAAACATAAATGTACCTTGGATGGATAAGCCGAAGGTATTTGGGCCATAACCGGTCTTTTGCTGTTACAACTTCCTGAGAATCTAACTCTAGATTTGATGGTTGTTCCGAACAGCGAGTCTATCCAAATTCGCAACTCTGCCACATTGTCTTCATTTTTTGTCCCCACTCTCCCATGAACTTCCACCTCAGAGGAGGAGCATTGGAAAACACTCCCCAACCTCCAATTCCTGAATGGAATTGACAGAGCGGCATGTACTGAGGCTATCGTCATAGGAGTATCCATTTGTACTCCAAAACATGAATCTAGGACAAATAAAAAATAAAACATAAATAAAAGAAATCTTAAATTAACACCTTAATTTAAAATCAATTGACAAAACATACTGGGCCCATCTGGGTGTGCCTCAATGAGCTCCAGGGTGAGCTTCAAGGTAAGCTCTATATACTCCTTAAACGTAAACCCTGTGTGTCTGCCATGTTTGTTCCACTGATGGAGACAAAACTCCAAGCATGCTAGAGGATTAGCACAATCTTTTAGATCTGGCCAAAGATCCAAAAGATGCATCAGGTTGAGTCCTAGAATGGCCTGAAAAAAAAAAATGTGAGAGAAGTGAATAATATACAAAAGTATATATTACAAAAAGAAGAATTTAAAATTTACTTACCTTTAAATCCGTCCATGACAAGAGGGGCTGTGGGTTCTTGCTGCAGAAGTGATCAACGTTGGCCGTATGGGCCCATAATCCATGGGTAAACCATCCCAATCTATGTGGGATGGTCTTGAACTGAAGACTTTTATTCTTCCCACAATATAAGGATTGCGCCCACTGGTAAACCAGCTTATAATGGTCTGGCCTTACGTCAGCAGGCCCAGCAGCAACTCTCCTCACTGCTTCCTCTAGAGGCTTTAAAGGGATTTCGTAATCCAAACGAGTGAAAAATGATCTTCGTTTGGCGAAGGTGGAGAAGGATGATTGTCGAAATCGCTTGACTAACAACGCCATACTGTTACATGAAAAAGAGAATGTAAACAATGGGAATAGTAAACAAATAAAAAAAAATAAATAAATAATTAAGAGGGTGTATTCGTTTGATATTGTAAGTGACATTTAAAGATTATATTAAAATTGAAGATTTCTTAATATTTGTTGATTTCATGAAATCATTAGTTGTAATGCCCAGATTATTGTACTAAGATCGTGATTAATATTGCATTCACTATGTGCTCGACTAATGCTTAAAGCCTTGGAATAATTATTCCTAAAAATTTATGTGAGTATAATGTATCACCTTTAATCTTATGATTGATAAAAATTTAAAATAGATGTCTTCATCTATTTTTCTTAAGCTATTAAATCCTAAGTTAAGCCTAAGTGTTACTGTCCAACTGTACCTAATAAATCCTATGTCTTTAATCTAAGCTGAAGTTCTAAACCAAATAAATATGCCTAAGTTAAATAAAAGAGCTGAGGAAATTAATTCCTACTAATTATGGATAAGGGAACTCGGCCATCATTATATTTTTATTTCAAGAACCCGCCAAGCAGTCTAAGGCCTTAAGACTTGGTCCCAGCCACCTCAAAGAAAACACTAATATCCCCTTCATTCTCGGACCAAAATCCCAGCAGCAACTCCCTCATACCTTCCAGCTGCCATGCACAAGAAAAGGAACCCTAAAGCCAACGGTTCTACCTCATTTTCAGCCCCTCAAACCACCTCCAAGCAGCCCTAAGATGTAGCTATTTAAACTCTTAATACCATCAGACGCTATTTTCATTTAGTACCCTCAAAACTCTCCCAAACCCCACAGCAAAAAGCCGGAAAGCATCCATTTCCGGCGAGAAGAACCCCGTCGGCGACCCTTCTTGCAACCGACTAGCACCAGCACAGCAGAGGAGACGTAAACAGCAACCAGAAAGCGTACGAACAGACCGAGCACTACCAAAAACATCTGAGCATCCAAGAGAACGAGAAGCATCCGCTGAGTCATCTTAGGTGACCGGAGAACCTTGCAGCAAGAGTCGAGAACCGAGAAGAAGCAGCCGGACCTAGAGCAAGTCTCTAGCCAAGAACTCACCCCTTTTCCCCAGCCTGTTTCTTCACCGTTTAGTCCCGAAGCAAGGTATATGGTTGAACCCCGATTTTACCTCTTTTATGGCCGAGTCATTGAGTTTAGATAATTCAATTAAAATGAGAAGATTAAAGCATGAAAAGATTTAATAAAATTTAAAATGCAAAGGAAGAGACTTATCATGTATGTTATGAAATTATGAAAATTAATAACATTGTAAGTAAATGAGTGGTGAAGAATTCGAGTTTATGTCTGAGCCTCAAGTAGTGCAAATTTCATGCTGAATCCATGTGTTAGTAAGGTTTAAGATTCAACAAATAAGAACTTGTTAAACATGCAAAAAGGATCGACTTAGAATTAGCAAAAGAGAGGAATATTAGGTGGTGTTCTTACCTTGAAATGTTATAGTTCCCTGAAACTGTTAGCATGTGACTTTTTGCTGCAAATATATGTAAGTTACAGAGTTTTTATGATCAGGGTAGAGGGCTTTATCAGATGTTAATTTAATTCAAGGAAAATGAAAGAAGAGAGAAGCATAAAAATTGTACTTTTGTCATGAATTTGAAAGACATTCGGAAGCTGTGGTTATGCGATTATATTGCTAGCAAAATAGGTTTTCCAGAGGTTCACTTAATTAGCGTTAATGATGATTTAAAAGGATTAGAAAAAATGAAACGAATGGTTTTGTGATTAGGCTGGGTAAGGTAGTAGTTTTGTAATGAACCCATCTAATGACACTTTGTCTAATGGGAATTTATTTGTATATAGTTGCACGAGTGTATGTCATTTAGCATGCTAGGTTATAAATGTCGTATAATTTGACAAATTAAAATTGAATAATTGTTTTATGATGAGTTTATTATCGTGTTCAAGAGATTATTTGTTGATGTCAATCTTTATGTTTAGCAAGTTATTTTGAGTAACTCGCTGTATGATGAACCAACTTCAATGTGTATTGCAATCAAGTTAAAAACAAACACAACCATGCTACTTGATAGTTGAAATTGATTTGATAAGAAAGTGGTGAATTGTTCATGGAGCTGTAGAAATCTACCTGGATAGGTTCTTGATGTTGGATAATTTAGAAAATGAAGGAAATTAATTTATTTAGATAATTAATTAATTAATTTTGAAAAAGAATCCGAAGAGTTAATCAAGTAATTAATTTTTTCAGTGTTATTTATCTAGAATATAGACGAACAATATAATCTATTTTTTTGCAATTATAAAACAAAACAATGAGAAAATATTGAGAAGCATATCATTTGTGAAAATATTTGACAGCAGAAGAATTAGAATTCCATTATATGACGATACTTTTAGTCATTTGTAAAGTTTATTATTATGGAGCCATGATTAAAATATACATCATGTATACAATTTTTTAGATTTTTTAATTATTTAAAATTGAAAATAAATAATATATGATCATTATTTATGAGAACCAATTTCTTACAGAGTCTATATATTTAAACGCTAGCAACAAGAAAGTAGTAATTTTAAAAGACTTTTTGTTTGTAAATATTGGTATTCATACTTTTCTAAGAAAATTGGCATGTTTTCTTTTTCTCATTGCATTACTATTATATTATTTGTTTCTTATTTTATAGACAAATAATATTTTATTTGCTAAATAACTAAAGTACATTTATACGTATTATGTTATTTTTTGTATGTGTTTTATATAATGATGGTATCAAATTATCTTATTTATTAGGCTACAATTAATATAATCACATAAGATTAAATGTAATTTAATATATATGATAAAATTGTACTTTTTATACGAATTATTAGATTAAAAAGTTTTAGAATTTTTTCCAATGTTTGATAAAATATTAATTAACTAAGTCATTTTCATAATCCCTGAATACATATATGGGACCACCATTATATGGTTCATTTTGGAGCAGTAATTAACTTCACATAGCTAATGTTATTTCATTTTCTTTCTCTGGTCTAGCCTTTCCTTCTATCTATGACTTCACATTGTTTCGCTTCGTTTGTACCTAAGGTGCATTTGTCATAGTTTCAGCATTACGACAAACTCGTGTCAAACATATATCGAATTTGGGCTCTCTAGCCAAAACGTGGGAACAGTTAGAAGTTTACACCAATTTTTTTACTTTTTTTTTAAAAATGAATTGTTTCAAATTTATGTATGGAAAACATACCACAAGTTTATCTTATGTCATTTTATACTTAATAAAATTGATTTAACTATATTCGTATATCCTATATTATATTATATTTAATTATATTTTTTTTAATTAAATATTTACAATTCATAAATTCATTAATAACATTGTCGAGTCAACTTTTGTTCATAAAATTTTTAAAAATATATTATTTTCATTGATTTGCTTATGTTGAACTGAGAAAAGTTATGTTTTTTAATTATATATAGGGAGGATATAAGATTTCTTATATTTTTTATGTAGTATTTATTGAGTAATTATATTTACAATTTTTCTATTAAAAATATATTAAACACGTGAACTTTTTAAATTGGGAGTTAATTTGAAGTTTTAAAAAATAAAATTTGAAGAAAAATAAAAGATTGTTGCTTACTCACATAAAATAATAAGTAAACATTTGCATAATATTAAAAAAAAGATTTGGTGTTTTAAAACTTTAAGTTAGCTCTCAATTTAATAGTTTTATGAATGTTGTTAATTGTAGGACTTAATTTGATAGTTTTATAACATTTAGGTCCAGAATTGAGAAAAAAATCTTTCAGGCCCCGAATTGATAGTTTACCTATCTTTTAGGCATTGTATTGAAAAAACTCATTTTTTTAATTATATATAGGGAGAATATAAGATATGATGGCATTAGTATATTACCAATTTGCCATTAAAAATATGTGAAAGTAGGGGTTATTTAGGTAGTTCATTTTTTAATTAAAAATATAAATAAAATATGATGTGTATTAGTGTATTACTAATTTGCCATTAAATTTTTCTCAAAGTAAGGGTTTTTTTAGGCATTATAAATTTTTACAAAAACACTCCTCCTTTTAAAGTAGTATAGATAGTGAGTAAGTAAGCGAGTAAAGTAGCATCTCCCGAGTAAGTCAAAGTGTTCGAAAATAAAAAGAAAAATTTTACTCACATATTCATAAGTCCAGTAGTAAGTAGGCGGGGTGTTACGTTAAAGTCTTAAGTCTAAAGATAGGATTTGGTGTGAAATTTGGCATATGTTATTTGTTTTAAACTTCATAAAATCTTAAATATTCCTAACAAATGCAAGTGTTAAATAGGGAGGGTGTATTTGTTTGGAAGTGCAGTGACATATTAAGAATTTCTAAAATCTAAGACTTTACTTTCAGATTTTAAGAGGAATATTTGGAAATTTTATGTCTCGAATTGGAATTTGTTTGGAATTCTTGAGAGATTTAAAAAATATTAAGGTACTTATTTAACTTGAACTTTTTAAAAATTTTAAAAGTTCTAAGGTACTCATTTAGAATTTAAAAATTTTAAAACATCATGAGATATTCAATTGATTTAACACTTCAGTTTGTTTGGATTTTCAAGACTTAGTGAGATTTCACAAACAAAAACCTCCCAAGAAAATTTAAAGAATGTCAAATGATTAAGTTAAATACCTTAATACTTTTTAAAATCTCAATTGAATAACTGAAAACTTCTAAAAATTTTAAAAAGTTTGGGCTAAATACACCAATGGTGTGCTTGGATACAAAAAAAAAAATTATTTCATACTCAATTCAACTCAAAATCTAACTTAACTTTAACCCAACCTCACTCAATATTATCAATATAATTAAATAATATCTATTAATCACTCTTACACATCACATCAACTTTAATTTATTATTTATCGACTCACATAATTTCAACTAACACTCACTTCACATGTTCTCTCGTTTACTCAATTCAACTCAAAATCTAACTTAACTTTAACCCAACC